TCAGTTGTCCCCGTCTACCTGGAAGTGCCTGCTCATCCTTGTGGGCCAGTGGAAACGTCATCGGTCACAGTGGTGCCTTTGACTCCAGGGCAGTGAGAGCTGCTTCCGTGTCACCTCCTGTGTGATTCTGTGACATGTTTGTAGTGTGCTTGTTTCCACATCTACCCTGCCTGGGCTTTGAACTCTCGGGGCTAGGGTTATCTGTCCCTGACTGTCACTGAGCTTTCTGGCGTTTTCACACAGACTAGCCCATCCTACGTACATGGAGGAGTTTTGGCAGCTGTATGTAGTTGTCACAGTCACCGTAGTGAACATGTCTGTTATCTCCCAGTTCCCAGTCAGTCTTTTCCTCCTGCCCCAGGTCCCGAGCGGACACTGCTCAGCTTTCGGTAGCAGTAGCTGGGCCTGCTTCAGAATTTCCTGTCGGCAGAGACAGGAGGCAGTGGCCTGTTCCCGGGCCCTTGGGCTCCTTGCCCTCCCGTGACCCTCAGGCGATCCATGACTTTGTGGGTGATAGTTCCATTGTAAGACACGCTAGTTTCACACACTGGTGGAAATGTAGGTCTCCAATTTGGGGATAATATAAATAAAATTGCTGTGAACATTGAGGCACAAGTCTTTGTGTGAATATTTGAGTGAATATATTTTCGTTCCCCATGGAGAAGTACCTAAGAATGGGATTGTTGGTTTAGCTGGAAATGATAAGCCTAACATTGCAAGCACTGTCAGAATCTTTACCAGACTCTACCGGTTTTCATTTCTGCCAGCAGTGGGAGGGACCTAGTTGCTCCCAGAACCACCATCCTTTCTTTATGCTTTGTTACATGTTTTCAAAAATAACAAGCTGCCTTTTAGAGGGGTTAAGAGAAATGCTCACATTTGCACATGCCTTGTATTATGTTTACCTCCAGAGCTCTCATGTCCACACTCAAATTCTTTACTCCATCCTTAAGGCCGAAGTTTGTTCTGGGTCATTTCCCTTTAGCTTAAAGGTGGTAGCATTTCTCATAGTGCAGTTCTGCTGATAATACATTTTCTTCATTTTTATTTATCTAAAATTGCCCTTTTTTGCATTTCTTTTGTGAGTCAAGTTTCACTGGATATAGAATTTTGAGGGTTTATTTGTTGTTTTTTTTGTTTTTTAACTCTATAAAGCTGTTTCCTTTCTTTGGTCACTGTTGTTTCCGATGAGACGTCGATAGTTATTTGTCTTATTACCTCTTATAAAATGTATTGGTTTTTTTTTTTCCAGACTGTTTTAAAGATTTTCTTATTTTTGGATTTTGGCTTTTTTTTTTCTACAATGTACTTAGGTGTCCTTTTCTTTATCCTCCTCAGGATATAATGAACTTTGTGGCTCTATAAGTTTATGTATTTTACCACATTTGGGAAATTATTTGCCATTAATTTTTTCACTTTTTTCCTTCATTCTCCTTCACTTTCATCCTGAGACTCACAATAAATATACTGGGGATCGCTTTTTATTGTCTCATAAATGACTGAAACTTTCTTCACATTCTTTCAGTCTTTTACCATTCATAGTCCTTCGACTGGGTAATTTCTACTGATCCGTCTTCCATTTCCTGTGTTTAGGCTAGGGAGCGAGCATCTAAGTTCTGCCATTAAGATCTGATTTTCCATTGTTTTATAGTTTCTGTTCCTCGTCTAAGATTTTCCTGTGTGCATACACTGTGACCTTATTTCCTGAAGGTCTTTGGAGATCTTCATAATAACTACTTTAAGCCGCTTGTCTGTGTGGGCCATCGCAGATTGCTGTTCTCAACTGCCGATGTCTAGATAGAGGTCTCCGAAGTGCCCCAGTGTGGACAGTTAATCAGTGGTAGCATCCTGCCCTCACCCGCTGGGACCATACTGGCAGTCTCCCTGCAGGGTTGCACGTCGCTGTCCCTTGCCACTCAGGGATTCAGACCCCGGGCCTCTGCTGTGTTTAGCTTCCCTCACGGGACTGCAAAGATGTTTATCTCTTCGGTTTTCCCTTTTCATGTGTTATCTGTGCTGTTGTGCACTAGCCCAAGGGGAGGTGTGGAGAGGGGACTTCAAGGCCCCGTCTTTGTCAGAAGTCTGTTTTCTCCAAAGCAAGATATTTTGCAAAGTTGAAAAATATTTTGAATCCATGATAATTTCATTAAAATACTTGAACTGAAAGTCTTATTTCAGCAGTGTTTTCCTCTACTTATATATTTCATTTATATATTCCCTGTCTGTTCCAAATGTTTTTAAACATGGTTATTTACATTTAACTCAAACATACTCCAAAGAAATCATTTTCTGAGAACTACAAGTAAATTGTAGTATCAGAGATAAAAGTAAATGTACTCAGCATTATGGAGGAACTTAATTACAAACTTGATGGAGGAGTACACAGTGGTATAGTGGATATGTGTTGTTTCTAGTATTGGTCTGTTCTTTTTCTTTTTTTTGTACTGGGAATTGAACTCAGGACCTTGTGCTTGTGAAGCAGGCGGTGGCACCACTGAGCTACATCCCGGGCATTGTACATATGCAAATGAAGTAACTAGCTTGCCTGCATCCATGGACAGTTTTAGGAGATTGGAAAGCTGATAATTCCCACTGGTTAAGAATTTTTCTTATTTTCTATTAGATGGTTTTTATATATTACCATATTTAATCACAGCAACCTTGATTCCCCCCCCCATTTGGATTTGAAGAACAATTATTTTTTCCAACATGATACAGTATACGAGTGCCAGGATAGAAATTTGAATTTAAGCTAACTCCAAATTGCTGCTCCTAATTTATTGTCTTTGTTCTTATAAACTTCCTATGTGTTCTCAGTAAAATTATTTTCTGGATATTCTTAGTTTCAATTTTCTGTTGTGCTGAAAGTTACTTATTTAATAATATTTTTTTCTTCCTTGTTTTCAATATTTTAGTTATGTAACAAATTAAGGAGCCTAACTATAGTTCTTTTTTGGTAGGCAAGAGAGTGTTTAAAATTTTTATTATTAGTTTTTAGATTTATTGTGCTTACAGACTTTGTTGTCTTGTAGAATGTATTGTCTTAATTTTATGTTTAAAATTTCTTAATATTTTCTTAGGTTTTAATAAGTCATCACTTTTAAAGTTCATGTGTGCTATAATCTATCTCCAGATTAATAGCTCTCATATGTACTATTCATGGGCTGTGATTATTAAATGTATGTTAGTTTGATTTTTCAAATATTTTCTATCATTTTTATTTGGTTATTTGTCAAAAAGTAGTAGTGTTTTTAAAAATTCTGACATCTGGATAATATTGAAGTCTCAGAAAATAAATATGATTAGAACCTTCTTCTGGTGTAAGAAAGTATATTTTTGTTTGTTCGTTTTGGTACCGGGGATGGAACTCGGGTCCTTGCGCTTGCGCAGCAGGCGGCGAAACCACTGAGCTAAATCCCCGGCCCAAGAAAGTATATTTTTGGATATAAAATGATAGAACTTCTTTATTCATGAAATATATTTTTGTAGGCTTTCTTGTTTTTGTTTTACTTTACATAGTAGATTACAATTTATGACATTTTGTTAAATTTTAGAAGCAAGTCAATTGCTTACATTTCTCTCATGTCTACAGGGATAAGATGATAACTTTTGATTAAAATACTTTAGACTAATTTCATTTTTGTAGAGACATAAATTTAGTTAAGAAAAATAAAAGAGAACTCTGGACCTAGAAAAACCAAATTAAACTTTAAGATCTGTCTGTTACTACATTATTATTATTATTACCGGTTTTACTTTGTTTTCTGACGGACAGAAGGAAATTTCCCACAGAAGCTTTTGTATTAGCGTGCTTGCAGTGCGTGCTGATTACATTTGAGCACATGATGTTGCTGCGCGTGCGTCGCGCGTCACATGTTCCTTCTCTGCACCCCCGCGCCACTCACCCCTCCCTGCACCTCCCCTCCCTTGGCCCCCTTCCCGTTTGTGAAAGCTCTATTTCCATTTTTTCACCTCTTTTTCCATCCCCTGCCTTTCTAGCCTGCTGTCTTTCACTGTCTTGTATAATACCATTCCTAAGTGTGTGCTGTGGTTAAAAAAAAAGTGATATTTAATTAAAATATGTATATATTACAGCACATTGTCACTGATTCTCCCTCAGAATCCTCCGGCTCACTTCAGACACACTATCCCATCATCTCGCTTTCTGAAGCAGTTCTCAAAGTTCTCCTTCCGTACTGTCTCGAGTTGTGCTGTCCTGGCTGCCTACATCCATAGATTCAAAACATTGACTTTTCTTGGCCACTCTGACTTTGGGGCAGAGTCAGAAGTCTCACGGTGCCAGATCCGGTGACCGAGGTGCTGAGGACACAGCGTCATGTTTACACTCCTGCCTTTCCATTGGGTGGTGCTCAGCAGCAGCCGTCCTCCGACTTTGATCACATCTGGTAAAGACACTCAGGAAAAAGGACTCCACACTGCTTCAGGAAGTGGCAAGAATGACGGGATGAGCGCATTCAGAGTGAGGACAGTGTTCTCAGGGAGATCAATGGCAATGTCTTTCACTATAATCAAATTTTTAAAGTTGCAGTGTTTATATCTACAGTATATCTCGATCTTATTGTGTATATCTCTGTTAAATTTGTTGTCTGTTTCCCTTAGCTATACCTCTGAGCTTCTTGACAAAAATGACGTTGCTCCGTCTACCTGCCTGTTCCCTCTCTCTAACACATTGCCTGAAGGTGCTTGATACATGTTTAAAGAATGCAGCAACAGGGCCGGGGATGTAGCTCAGTGGTGCCACTGCTTGCCTCACAAGTGTAAGGTCCTGAGTTCAGTCCCTGGTACAAAACAAAAAAAATCACACAAAAAAAACCAACAGAGAATGCAGCAACAGGAGCTTCCGAATGAACACAGAAGACCGCAGGCGACATGAGAGGTGTCAGCCGCCATGCAGCCAGCGAGTGTAACCGTCCAGGGCTCTGCCCCAAAGTGAAATGAATTTTGTTTTCTATCAAAATATCTTGTTTCTTCCCTCACAGATATTGATGATGTCCAGAAGTTCAAGCCGGGGTACCTAGAAGCTACCGTCCATTGGTTGAGATTTTATAAGGTCCCTGAGGGGAAGCCAGAGAACAAGTTTGCTTTCAGTGGAGAGTTCAAAAACAAGGTAAAGACCAGACTGCTCTCCAGGGTCCCCCCAGTGCCTGCGCAGGACTTGTTGCCCTCTGACGTGTTCTTGTGTGAATATTTCTCTCTTTGGCATCAGGAAAGAACTGCTTTGGACTGACTTATGTATTTAAAAACATTATTTTATCATTTAAAAAATTTGGGAGAGGGGATCTAAGTGAATCAAGCCTGAAAAGTATTTCTCTCATCTATGAATAATAGCTCCTCCTCCCCTTTCTCCTTCTCCTCCTCCTTTTTTTGAAAAATGAAAGAATTCTGTGATCGGTTAATTCTGCAAATTATAAATGAAGAAAACCCTCCCTCCATTCACTAATTTGAGGAGAAAGTTACCCTTACTGCGAATTCTTAGGGCTTCTCTCCTAAATGTTCCTTCGGCACAGCCGATCTCAGCTGATTCATGATTAAGAATGCACTTGAATTATTTCACTGTCAAAAGATGCCTCTATTAGATGACCATGGTTACCATAAAGTATCTCTAATAAGATACAAATGGGAAAACTGGCCAAAGAGTCAACATCTAAAAACATGAGCTGATTTAAAAATATTATACCCACTAAGTAAATTCCAGAGTCTAAGCCAACTCCTGAGTGGGTCCTAGTAAGTATATTTATAAGTAGAAATAAGGCATGTTAATAAGAACTTAAAATTTACAGTATTTTGCCATGTAAGAATTGATTGTTGGACCCAGTATTTTTTGAAAAGTATATTAAAGCACCTTTAATATCTTGAGGGTTTTGTTTAGGATTATTAAATGCAAATATAAAACTTATTTTAGACTGGATTTTCTTAAAAATATTAGAAATTTATATAATAAATTATTTTTTCTTCAAATTATATTTTGTGTTTGTAATAATATACATTTCAAGCCTATACTGTACTTCTGTGTACCCTTACTGGCTCTAAGTAAGTCTGCCAGTTATGAATTTATAAAGAGTGAGTTGTGTTTTATGTTTTGTTTTTGACAAACATTAATTCTTTTTCGTAAGAAGACCAGGCCATTTTTACACCTCTTCAGAACATAATAATTTTATGCATTGCTCTTTACCATTACTGTTTAAAATACAGAGCCTCACGTAAGAAAATGTAATTGTAAAGAAAAAAGAAAATGTAACTGTGCCTCTTTAATGTGGTTGAAAATGGTTCCTATTTTATATTGTCGGGTTTTCCCGCCTACTCCTGTATGCAGCAACTCTAACAGGTTCCAAACAGTCACCATTATTGGGATACCTTGGCTGATGATCTTTTCCTGTGCTGTGCAGAGGGCCAGTTGCTTTGCTGGCCCTGCATCTTAAGCCACCTTGCTGAGCCCCGATGATCCTCGTCATCACTGCAGCTGGCAGACCTCAGGGACCAAGTCCCCGTTATCACTGTGTCTCAGAACACAGGCTCCTTCGTGTCCTTCATTACCATAATATGTTCCCTTGCCCTCGAAGGAGAAAGGAAGGAGCACCAAGTAGTTGATAACTAAAGACTGTCCTTAAAGAAAAGCAGCAGCATTTTGAGGACGAACATGAAAAGAATATTCTGCTTTGGAGTAATAAAGCAGTTTTCCTTAGATGTGTGTCTATTGTAATTGTGCACTGATAGACATCTTATGAATTGGGACTAAGAAAACATGGGAAATGTTAAGGAGGTTGTGGCTTGGAGACAGTGGAGGGTCAGAAGCACTTTATGATTAGATGGTTTGCAGTTGGGATGGTGGTAAATAAACAATCCCTGATGCAGATGTTCCCCACCGGAGGCCATTACACAGAGGCGGAAGTTGAGGCCCGGCCGTTAGATACCTCTCCTGGTCTCACAGCTGTTAAATAAGGAGGCCAGAATTTACACTCAGTGTGCCGACTCCAGGGCACTGCGCTTCGTGCGAAACTGTCACCACAGCTTTAGTTCAAGGTCAGTGCAACAATGTGACTGCTTTGTCTCATTTGGTTGGAACTAGGCTTTTGCTCTTGAAGTCATTAAATCTGCTCACGAATGTTGGAAGGTGCTGCTTATGAAGAAGTGCGATGGAGGAGCTATAAATTGGTAAGAATCTGCTTTTTCTGTGTAAATGATGTTATTTTATTATTACTCGGTACTGACCCGCCGCCTAGTGCTGCTTGGATCTCATGTTTTTTATGGGATTTTAATTCTCTTCCACTGAATGAGGAATTATTATGGGCCACCTGTGCAGGGAGTGTCGCCGAGCACTGGGAATGGGCACGCTCCCTCTGCCTGAGGGATTTGTATTTTAGGAGGAGACACTAACAAGTACCTAAGTGCTTACTCGCACTGCGCTGTGGGGTGTGCAGACTTCGGGCTCAAAAACAGCAGTTGCTCAACAGGCAGATGTGCAGTTACTTTATTGTATGGTAGCTGTCACGTTCCTTGATATGAACAGGAAGAGCCTTCTCGGCCGATGTGATCTTGATCATTAGATGATGGATTAGCAGGAATCTAACAGTAGTATGCATAACTTTTTAAAATTTAATACTTGGGGCGCACACTGAAAGTACTTGGATACTTGGGACAAACTACGCTAAAAATATTCACTTGAGCTGGGGATTTAGCTCAGTGGTTCTGCCACCTGCCTCGCCAGAGCAAGGACCCAAGTTCGATTCCTGGTACCAAAAAAAAAGCCAATGAAATGTATGTTTGGGCCGGGGATTTAGCTCAGTGGTGCAGCGCCTGCCTTCAAAGTTCAAGGTCCTGAGTTCAGTCCCCAGTACTGCAAAACAAAGAAAAAAAAATTCACTTGAACTTCATATTTACTTGGGCAATCTGTATTTTATCTGACACTTCTATTGAGGGGACCCCCTCTGCTCTTTCTCACAGTTGTTTTCCCAGAATTTATAAGAAATGTGGATTGGTTTCGTTAAAATATGAGAACCATTGTGCATGCAGCATATTTTCCTGCCTTTTTCAGAGAACTAGCCCTTAGGACTTTGCAGGGTCTAATTTTTTGCCTGGTTCCTCTCCCTTCCTCTCCTCTCCCTCTTTCTCATTAGGGAAGCATCTCACTTACAGGACCCTACCTTTTTTAACTTTCAGTTTACTTAAAGATGAGCTGTAAAAGATGAATACAGGAAAGTCGTACTTTAAAGATGATGGTGCCAGCCTTCATCAAGTTTTATTCATGCCAAGAATAAAAATAAGTTCCACATTAGGAATGTGGTTAGAAACCAAAATGACCATGTACTGTAATCATTGTCATCAATAACAGACAGATGTTGTTTTAAAGGTAAATCAGCAACCAAATTGGGTCTTTTTTCAATCATAGGTATCCCCATGTATTTCACAGAGCAATTGTGAAAATGTTTGATAACGTGTATCTCTTAGGGCCATTTGAGAGGGGAAATGTGTTTGTGTTTCACCTATCGTTTATCTCTGTTAGGAGATAATCATTGTTAGTCACTTTTTTCTTTCATTTAAAAAATAATAGCTTTCACCTCTTCTCTCCTACCTCTTGCTGCCTCTATTTTGATCTGCCAGTTTCCCTGATGAAATTTTTAAACTCAGCCCTGGATCCACTTGGATCTGGGAGCAGGCCTGTGTGCAGTGCATTCTGGGAGACAGGAAAGGCCTTCACCTCAGGGAGCTGTGAGTGAGGGTGGGTCAGGTTGCTGCTGCCCTTCCACCTCTCTCAGCTGCCCCTCAGGAGAAAAGTTTTCATGTCCACGTAGATTCCTCCTGTCCTAAATCTTCCATGTCTGCTGAGACTCCACAACATCTTGTGGAAAAGTTTCCTTATAGTCCCCTTGTGTGGGTCACATTTGATTCCTGTCTTCTTGAATAAAGATGAAAGGTAGTTGTAGTATTTCTTTTTATAGACACCAGGAAATTATTAGGCTTTGTATATTATTTGTTAAGTGTTTTTGTATTCTAAGGAATACAGTGCTATTATATATTCTGTTTGTAACTTTGCCTAAAAGAATGTACGATGGATGCACCTGGAGACCATAATGTTAAGTGAAATAAATCAGCACACAAGCTTAAATATCATACGGTTTCTCTTATGTGAGAAACCCGAATTATGAAAAAGAGCAAAATAAGAGATGGATAATAGGAAGTCGGGAGACAGATCTTTCTCAGATGGGAAGGGGATTGAGAGCTTGAGGGAGGCAGGGGGAGGGAAGTGGATGAGAGGAGGAACTAGGATGTGTTATGTCTGGGTACCAATCCACACAAGGAGTATAAACATTCTGTACTACACACATGGACTAACAAATCAAAATAAATTAACTTCGAAAAAATGAATGCACAATGCTTTATTGTTCCAATTTATGTACATTCAATTCCTTGTTCCCTGGCTGAAGTTATCCAGTTAGTGAGGACTATCTGGAGTTGATATTCTTTCTTTTTTCTTGTGCTTAACGATGTTTTCTTCTCTTCCGCAGCACAAATGCCCAGGTGTGCGACAGCCCTTTCCGTTGCACCCAAGAGGAAGCGAGATCCTTGGTCGAATCAGTAAGGAGCAAATGTGCCCAAGATGTCTTTTAATCACATAAATGACATGAGAAGCCCAGCAGAAACCCTCAAATACCAAGAAATGAAATGTGTCGAACCCTTTAGGAAGCGTAATGTGAAAAGCTAATATTGAAATTATTTTTTTTTTGATTCAGGGAATTTAATTTTTTTTTTTTTTTTTTTGCAGTCCCAGGAATCAAACTCAGGACCTTGCACTTGCAAGGCAGATGCAGTGCCACTGAGCTACATTCCTGGCCTGGGAATTTAAATTGTAAACTTCAAAGAGCCTGAAGTTTTAAATTCTATTTTTTTTTTTTGGTACCGGGGATCGAATTCAGTACCTGGCGCTTGCGAGTCAGGCGCTGGAACCACTGAGCTAAATCCCTGGCCCCTTTAAATTGTATTTTAACCATTTAACTAATTTCACATGATGCTGTTTTTCTTAATACGATCAATTTATTATTGGTAATATCAGTACTTGCTGGTCTGTCCCCTGAGTTACCTGTCACCCAGGGGCCAAATTGGGACTGGCTCTTGGTCCACACATGTGGTTTGGCTCAAGAAAAATGAAATGGAGGAGGTTCTTTTCTTCTTTGTTTCCTTTTGGCTGGGCTGTCTCACGAGCTTCCCTTCCCCAAGTGAAGAAGAAATCCTAAGAACAGATTTTCACATCTCTTCGTGGGAATGCTGCAGAGAGGCAACTGAATTTATCAGTGAATTAATACTTAATTTAGAGAATACTAAGAAAAGTGATAGCCAGGTAATTAAGTATCATTGCTGTGTAAAATAGGAATCCTAGGCTTGAAGTCCCACTTATACATTATGGGTTTAAAAACACTAATTATGAGCTAGAAACTAGTGGATTTAGGTCTTTAGGAACAGCTGAGATGTTCCTGAGTATTAGTTACTTGTTGTGGCTGCTTTCAGTGTGTGGGTTTTATTTCTCCGCTGGTTCATCCGCCCAGTGCTGAGGGGCTGCTCTGTGGGGAGGAGCCTGCCCGGAATGAGGGACGCAGAGAGCCCTGCCCTCGCTAGCTCTCACTTCAGTAGAGAGCTGGGTGATGAATCGGTGTGCGCAGAAAGCACCCGGGGTCCTGGTAGATAACAGAGGCCATGGTGGAGAAGGAGCGGAAAGAAGAATAGCATTCCAGGTCCAGGATGGCCTTGGAGCTGCGGTTCCTACGAGGTGGCCCCAGCCCGGCTCCCTGGGAAGAGGCTGCCACGGGGCGGGATTTGGAGGAAGGGAGTGGGCAGGGGAACTTGGAGGAGGAGCGTTCCTGGGCCTGGGGCCAGGAGCCCAAGGGTGTCTGGCTGTGTCCTTGGGCTCCGAATCTAACTACTGTCTGGAAACCTGCAGCAGACTGCAGGGACCAGCGAGGTGGGGAGAGGCCCTGGAGATGAGCGAGGGAGTGTTTAGGTCCGGAATGGAACTGGAAGCTGATTAGCAAAGACCCTGTGAGCGCCTTCCTGGGGATTCTGAAGGAGGTCAGGGAGGGAGGGGGTGAGCAAAGGGGCAGTGTGGTCTGACTGGGATTCTAACCAAGTCGCTCCTACCGCAGCACAGTTCACGCTTGCTAAATCTCGGGAGCAGCCCGCGTGTCCATCAACAGATGAATGCATAAAGAAAACGTGGTATTTATACACCCTGGAGCACTACTCTGCCATAAAGAAGCGTAAACTTGAGTCATTTGTAGGAAAATGGATGCACCTTGACACCATAATATTAAGTGAAATAAATCAAACGCAGTAGCTTAACTGTCACATGGTTTCTCTTAGATGAGAAACCCAGAATATAAATAAAGAACAAAATAAAAGGTAGAGAATCGGAAGTAGAGAGACAGCTCTTTCTCAGATGGGAAGGGGATCAGCAGATGGGGGGAGGGAGACAAAAGGAGCTGAGATGTGTTGCGTACACGTGCCCACTCCACGCAAGGGCTGCAGACACTGTGCTGGAAACATGGACGGAAGGAGAAGGGAGAGAGAGAAAGGAAAGAAAGAAAGTGGAGTGTAGGGAGGCAAAGGAAGACACCATTGTAATGCAGGCCACAATCTCAGTGTATTTCCTCCAAGTTACCCATTCTGTATCTCTAGATTATATTCTTATTTTGGTGTTCATCAAAATTTATTATTCCTTAAGAGAAAAAGTAGAGGGAAAGAAAAATATTTTCATCCTTGTCTAAGCAGTCGGTCTCACTAATCTCAGATTAAAATTACTGTGTTGGTTTTATTTGGATACATTAATGATAAATATAATAGATTGTTATCTTAAAATTGGAAGATTGAAGTTTTCTTGTTTTATCTTATTTTAACTGCCTCCTATCATCTTAGTAGGAAAGCAGTTGTCTTGGACAGGAATAAGGAGAGGGTACGGCCCAGGTCAATAAGGGAGCGAGGGGAGGTTCAGAAGCATCACTTCTGGCTGTCATCACACAGCTCCATTACCGTAAAGAAGGTGCTGTCCTGACTGATTTTTTGCTGAGAATGTTGTCACACAAATTCGGTTTGGAGAATCCAGCCCCTCGTCTCTAGCTCAGTGAAACTCAGCGTGCGCCAGTTTTCATTATTAAGTATCTGGGAGTAAGAATCGCGCCTTTAGCAGGGGGAGAAACAGGCTGAACTTGGGAGCGGCTGCGGGAGCTGTCACAGCAGGCACATGAGGGATAAATATGTGGGGAGCAAAGCACAGGGCGGGCAGCGCCGAAACCAGGAGAGCCAGTAAGCCGCTGCCCATGGGTGTGTGCAGAGCGACTAAGGAAATGATTGTCACTCTAGCTAAGGAAGATAAAAGCGGACAGTTTGATGTGTCTCATTAGACAGCATTTTAGAAACAATGTAGAAAATATCTGCTAAGTATTTTACCATACTTTGGTTGGAGTCTTAAGGTAATAGATGTGGGTAAGATTTCAGAAGAATTGACATGGGAGGGATGACTGGGCTTTGTTCATGAATCTGTAGATGTTTGCATTGTGTGCAGCTGTGACGGTTGGGACTCCATCAAAACAAGCTCCGTCAGTGAGCCCTTAGCACCATGCAGATCAGCAAGCCAGAGCCCCCGCCAGCACCAACTTCGTCTGTGGCCACGGCACCCAGGCTGCCCTGCCGCAGTGGCTCAGGCACACCCCGTGACTTCCTTGAATTTTTTTGTACATTGTGAATTTGTTTTTAAACGTCTACCTATTTTATAACCAGAACACACGAGACCTACCTGCAATACTTGAGAACTGTATGACTAGTAGTTGGAGCTTTATTCCAGGGAGCGAGGCTTAGAGCAGAAATGGGGAGCAAAGTGTGTGTGTGTGTGTGTGTGGATACGCACATGTGGTTGCCTTTCGGACTTAGTATTCATTAAATACAGTATATTTGAGTTGCCTGCTGATATGGAAGATGCCACGTGTTGGACCCTTTGTGCATTGAAATGTCATTTTGAAAATATCTTGACAAGATTGAAATGAAATTTGCAAGCTTAATCTCATAGTCATATATAATGAGAAAATATTGTCTGTCACTGTGGACATTCCCCAAAATTGAGTACGTATTAGGACACAAATAGTGTTGAAAAAAAATTCCAGAGAGCAGTCATACAGACCACATTCTCTATCTCTAATAAAGTTATTCATCAGCCATGAAAATATTCAAAGGAAAAAGCACAGGCACAAAGATTTGGAAATTTAAAAACACTTACTGACAAGTTATGCCTCAAAAAACGAACTATAACAAACTAAAATATTTAAAGCTGAGTGTCACAGCCTGCTCCGTACAGCAAGAATGGTACCTGAAAAAAATAAATAAATAAATGTACACATTAGAAATGAAGAGAGAAAGTGAAACATTCAGCTCTACAATTACTATTCCCCACCACCACCTTTTCACAGGGGAAGAGAGGAAATCAAAGAGTGGGGCAGATGCTCCACTTAATAGAAAGTGATGAGCAGCAGAGGATCAACTACAACAAAAGCTGCCTGTTTTCAAAGTAATAAAACAGACAAACTATGCTAAGAAGGGTGATGAAACAGAACAGGCACAAATAAAAATGCCAAGAGCTGAGGTGTAGACTGAGCGCAGACTCGGAGCTATTCAGACTCAAAGTACTATTTAAAGAGTGCTGTAAGATGCTTTTGACAACACCTTTCAAACATGAATGAAGTTTTGCTTACACTACAGATTACCAATACTAAACTGTGAATACAGAAGCCAGATAGACTTAGAAGTTTAAGAAAATACTTAACCTTGAAGGTGATAACTTCTCCGGTGTCAATTAATGAAGTCAACCTATTTTTTTCATCAAAATTCCAATAGTTTTCACCAAACTTACCAGGGTGATTCTAAAATACATATGGAATGATAAAAGGCTAAAAATAAACTTACAAGGATTAATACATTTATTATGGAAAGATATAAACAACTAAAGTTAACATAAAATAAATGATAAAATAAGCCATTGATTTCAAGAAGATATTTTCATCTAAAATAATAAGCAACTGGGCTGGGGATTTAGCTCAGTGGTTTCGCCGCCTGCTGCGCAAGCGCAAGGACCCGAGTTCAATCCCCGGTACCAAAAAAGTAAAAAAATAATAAACAACTTATTCAAATTAATAAGAAAAGGATAACCTGGTAGAAGGAAATGAGTAAACCCTAGGAAGAAGACTGACGTTATCAGCTGTTTTCAGGGACACAGGAAGAGGCAACCCCTCAGAGCTCCTATGGATGGCATGCGGGATAGGAGGGTAAGCTGCTGAAGAGCATTAATGAATTTCCAGTGAAGTGAGGCGTGCTGATTACGCGTTGCTCGCAGCTGCACACCTCCTAGAGACACTAACACACGGGCTCGAGCAGTCGGACCGGAACATTGCAAGCCGAGTGAACGTCTCGGTGAGAGGAGGCCGGGTAAATAAACCGGAGAGGTTGAGTGCGGAGTGCTTGCTGTCACGTTGAAGAGTCAGGACCTCACTGACTGTACAAAAACCATTGACTGCGAGGCTGGTGTTTTTCATGAACCCATTCTGGTTGTTTTCAAACGTAAATACTGTTGACTCTTTTCATATGAAAGACATGTCTTTAAGAAACTAGCTGTCGTCCAGACAAACACACAAACAGAATCCCTCGGACTCTGTCATTGCCTGTGAGTGCTGGGCCTGTCCACAATGATTTGGGGTTTTTTGTTATTTTTTTTTTTCCCGGTACCAGAGATTGAACTCAGGACCTTGTGGTTGCTTGCGAGGCAGTCACAGTGCCACTGAGCTAAATCCCTGGCCCAATTTTGTTTGATCAAAAAGGCTTTGCATTTCTCAATATCTTCCAAGCAAGAAATATATTTATTCCTTTTTTTTTTTTTGGTATCGGGGATCGAACTCGGGTCCTTGTACTTGCGAGGCAGGCGGTGGAACCACTGAGCTAAATCCCCGGCCCCACAAGAAATATATTTTTTAAAAAACAAAAAATACATTTTAGCATGAAGACATAAAAACATTCTGGAAATTATGTTTTAAAATAACATGTGATGCTAAATGTTTCAGATAGGACCCGTTTCATTTTCTATAATGCTTTTAGGTTAATGAGAAGTTGCTCAGTTGCTCTATTTCAGTATTTCTATTATTTCAATTTTTGTGCACCATCCATTCTCTTTGACTGAAATGTTTGGCAGTTCCAGTCCAAAGCAGCTGCTAATTTTAAACAAGAAATTTAACCAGCTAATTTTCCAACAAACTTTGTATAATGAGTGCCCTGTACAAACATAAGGAGCGATCAACAATACCAAGAGTAGACAGATAGAGCTGTCACATTCCAGTGCGTCATCCGAGGACAGCTTTGATGTCGCATGTCTCTGTCACACTCAGACCTGGAGTTCTTACAGCCTCAGAACCTGTGGGCCTTGAGCGTTTTTTCCATATGCGGAAGTGTAACAGAATTTTTCTTCTGTTTTTGAAGTATTTGGACATATTCAAGGATATTATTGAAAATTTTCCAGGAATCCTTTTTATTTACACAGTGAAATCATCCTTTTCTTGAATAGAAACAAAACTTTTTTTTTTTTTTTTTTTTGCAGTACTAGGGATCGAACTCGGGACCTTGTGCTTGCGAGGCAGGCACGGTGCCACTGAGCTAAATCCTGGGCCCTAGAAACAAAACTTTAAAAGTCTAGTTGATCAAACTTTTCTTAAAGATTGGGGAGAGAAGTGACATTAACCCATTAGGGACCTGAGGGAATGCATCAGTCAGGGCTTTCCAGCGGAAGGGAGCTGACAGACGTGTACACAGGGCTGCGCTGTGTGTCGGCCTCGGGCCACACAGATGATGCTGACGCTGATGGTGATGGTGGTGATGGTGGTGATGGTCCCGTACACTTGTGAAACCTGGGGAAATGTGTTGTTATTCTCGGGTGACTTTGTAGCTGGTGATGCTGATGGAACCAAGCCTCTCGCTGTGCCTGCCACGAGTGTGTGTGGCACCCAACCCTTGACAGTGGTGACCGGAGACTCTGTCACTGCCGTGTACTCCCCTCCTGTACCTACCGCTGTGTTAGCAAATACTCCCACCTGCCCTAACCAGGAGTGTGGGGTGCGACCGGCGGCCGTGTGACCGGGCAGCACCCCCACATTTCTCGTCCACTACTTCTCTTGACTATGTCACTTCTCTTGTACTTGGTTCTGTCTCCTGTTTTGTTCATTGTGACCCCCTAATTATATAAAATCTCCTGCTCAGGTTAGCAGGAGGCCACACCAAGCGCCTGGCCGGGAATGGAATCCTGAGGGAGTGAGGGTTACAAGCTGGAGAATCTGGCTCCTGCCGGCTAGCCTGGCCATCCCATTCCCCTCAGCACAGTCTTGGGGACCAGGAGCTGGGTGGGCAGTGGAAAGGATCTGCTACCCTGGAGGCAGCCCACTTCACTAGAGATTTGTTAGTGCTCTCTTCAGCAGTTTCAGCAGCTTATCCTCCTGTCCAGCCTGTCGTCAGTATGAGCTCTGAGGGGTCTCCTCTCCCCATGTCCTTGAAATCCACGTGCACACATACACATGCACATGTATTTGAACTCCATGTTTTTGTTGAGTTTTTTGGGTCCTCAAAATTTCAGCCTTGGAAGCAACTGAAAGAAAATCTCTATACATTCTCAGCTACTACAGACTCAGTAGTTCCCATGGGCCATTGATGGAAATATTTCCAAGCCCGCTCCTTTCCATTTGGCTCTACATCTGTGGTTTATCAGAAAGAGCAAGCAATGATAATAAAGGCAGAGGAGTGTACGCTTTTTCAAGTTAGAGAGCTGTTGTGTGCCAACCTTGTTGTGTAATCCCATGAAAACTTCGTGGATTCGCTTTCTGCGTATGATGGACTCGTAATAACAGTGATTCTGCTTCTGTTCTTACTTTCAGGTCTCACCAGCTGCACCAAGTAAAGAAAGTAGTGGAGAAGGTATGGTATATCTTAGTTCTCAAAGAGCAGGATATGTAAATATATTCATTTACAGTAGTGGAAACCAAAAAGTTATATAAACTAAAAATATTTTAAAGCCATTAAAATTTTCAGAGGAAGTACCATATCCCCTACTCTCAGAAGATGAAGAACCACACATTTATTTCTTCTGGCTAGGTAATGGTTTGATTATACAGTGCCCTTTTTTTTGCTGAAATAGTCTAGCTCATTCTGGGAAATTTTAAAAGGCTCCTGCCATCTTGAATCTGAAAGATTTTCTTTATTTCTTGTCATTTTAGTGAATCACTCATTTTAACTCATGATCTTATAGGCAAAATTTGCAGTAAGACTGAAAATAAAGGCTTTATTTTTAATTCCATTATTTGAAACGGTGTTGAGAAACAAGTAAAAATGCTCTGTGATAGGAATTTCAGAATGCAAGCATATTCACACATCATTTTTCTTTGAGAATATTGCAAGGTTTCGGCCTTGTAATATAAAAAGTTAGAGGACTGTTCAGGTTACAAATTTGGAGGAAAATGACAGCTCTTCACTGGGGGTCTAGTTGCAAGGTGCTGAGAAAGGCGTGCATCGCTGGGTGGGAGTCCACGGAAAGTGCGCCTTGCCCACGGCCCCTGCTGGGTTGGAATTCCCTGTCACTGCCCGAGGCAGGCACAGTGCCACTGTGCCAAACCCCCAGCCCTTCCACTGGCGATGCTTACAGTAGGATTGCTTAGACTTTCCACGCTGTCTCCAGGGACCTAACTTCTGTACTGTTCATTGGAGACTGCAGTGGCCATCAGGAACAAAATGAGAAGGCTCTTGAAAGGTTCATATCGTTTTGTAGAAAGCTTGAAGCAAATGAGACAACTAGGAATTTAGAGAGAAAAAACGAAAGATGATGTGCTAAGGTTGTGACTCTTCTATGAGCGTAAATACTTCCTGAAAGTCTTACTCTTCCCATCCTGCTTATCGTCCTCTCCACCCTGTCCCTGACCCCTTTGCTCCCGTTTCCAACACAGAGCAAGCGTGGCACTTCCTTGGCAAATGACGGGGACATTCGAAGCTCAACATCCAGATCTCGCTCCCTGAGACTGCTTTTCTCTTCAGCGATGGAGACCGGCAGGGCCATGGGCATTTGCTGACTTGTTGCTCAAACATTGTTTTCAAGCTTTCGAGATGGTCAGTATATAAATAAACATCTGCATTTCTGAATTTGTCTCCTTTGGTGATTTATTGATATGAAGGAAAGATTTAATTTCATAGCAGAAATGTAGAAGTTTCGCATTTTGGACCAGTTCTAATTTTCATACCTGAAGGAACTCAGTTATTTTATCAGCTAGTATATCCATAGGTTAAAAGCACAAGTTTAAGAAATTAATACCAATTTGAGATCCTGTTGTTCTCATTTTTAGACCATCGTAGATCCTGTCAGTTCTGCTGCTGGTACAGGCTTTATTCAGCCAGCCGCTGCCCTGTCTGAACAGTCTGGATAAACATGTTCCATTCACTAGGGCCCCTTCCTGTCGTTTATTCTTTTGCAGTTCCTCATCTCTCTTTGATTCCCATTCAATGCCTTAATTTCAGCTCTCACCTCTGAGAAAGACCCTGGTCTCCCCGGACTCTGCCTGTCAGAATCTCTGAGTGCTTTGACCCTTGCTTCCGGTGCTGGGCTCATCTTGCCTGCTGCTGGAGCAGTAGAAGTAGCCTTCTCCTCACTCCCCTGGAACTTGTACTGAGCCCCTCTTACTCGTAAAGATTGTCTGCGTGCTGCTTTCTCTGTGGTCCTACCCCCTCTGCACCCATACTCTGCTGGGCTCCCCGTTTCAGGGGCCCGGTGACAGCCTCCTGCCTCTGTTCCCTGCCGCCTGCCCCACCCCCACCCCACACTCCCCTTGCAGCTCAACTGCACGCTCCCCCCTCGCTCCTCACCTGTGCCATCCTGCGTGGGCTTCGCTTCCTCCAGCATTCTGCACACATCATCCAAAGTGTAGCTCTCGCCTTATCCCACTTTTCTCAGATGCCTTCCGTGGCCCCAAGAGTAAGCAGCAGACCAAGCCACGTCGCGCTGTGTACACGCCTGCCCTTTCACGCCCGCGTGGCTGCTCCCCCGCTTTCTGTCCCCAGCATGGACAGTTTGTTTACTGCCTCGTCTGGAGAGACACAAAGCCTTGTCATGACGAGGCTTCCCGTGGGCCGAGTCTCATCGCGCACGTCAGGCCCTGTTTCAGGTCTTCTGCAGGCCTGGCCCTGTCAGGCAGACGGGGAGAAGTTCTGAAACTTGGAAGGTCACACAGCAGCTCATAAATCGCAGAGCTACAGCGGGAACTCCCGACTGCCTGGCTCTCGTCGTACGGCTTTTCCCAGTCGCTGTGTGCACCATTTCTCCCACGCAGCGGAGGCAAACCTTACAGCGTCCCTACCTCACGGAGGGGGACAGGCACAGGGGTGTGAGCAGCCCGCCCGGGAGTAGAGAGCGATGCTCTCCCGAGGGGCCGCTGGGGTGTGAGAACTCTTGCAGGAAATGAGTCTGCGGGGACAAGAGTGTTTTATCTTACTAACATACTGACTTGATACTGTGAAAATAGAACTGACAAAGAATGGAGAACGCCAAAGAGAAGCGAGGTCATCAAGGGAAGGTTCGGTGGACTTGGGCCTCCGGCTTATTCGTCACCTGAGAGGTGGAAGAGAGGCCTCGTGTGCACCCTGCCCTTCGTGTCTGCCGCCCTCTGCCTAGGGGCACTGGACACTGGCAGTGCCCGGTGCTGCCTGGTCAGGGAGCCTTCCTGGGCGGACCCAGCCCAGTAATCACAGCCCCGCGGACGGCTCAGTGTGTGATTTCTCATCGTACAAGGCATGTGTGATCGCGAACTTTAAATTTTCTTTTAAATATGACCGCATCGCTGTACCGTGGTTGTGGTTATTATTATCTTGTGGAGCTGGGGATAGCCCCAGCCGCCTTTGTCACCTTGTCAGCACCCTCTCCACCTTTCACGAGCGAGCGGGCTCTGGGCCTGTCTCACAGCGGCTTCCGAGCCGGGCGGTTCAACCTTCGCCAGCCCAATCCCATGGAACAATTAAATTGCATAGACTGCATAGCAACACTTCTAAAGGAAAACCACTGAGAAACAAATCATTACCACAGCTGCCTAAAATAGGTTGAAAGCCAGAATTTACCCAAGGATGTGTTGTTAGTACCCACAGGCGATTTCCGTGAATGAAAAATCACCCAGGCCGATTTTCCCCAAATTTGCTATAGTTGCAAATGTCTGGAAATTTTAGGTGCTTTTATCTTTTTCACAGTCAACTCATACAGGAAGTATTTGGCGTTGCTCTGTCATTCTACAGAACATGTTGAATTTTATAAGGTCCGTTCCTCCTTGATGATCGTGCACACTTTTAGCAGTTTATGTGCTCATTAATCACACTTGATTTAGTCATTGCGTTGGGCCAGGTCAAGGCCATTGCTCACTCATCATACTATGACTCCCGTGTTGTTCAACAGTGAAGCGAACCGGAGTCCCCAGCCTGTGCTGTTTTCCTGCCCTCTGCACTCTGTCCAGTGTTGTCAGTGTTTGCCAGGGGTCTCTGATTCTCAATCCTCAGCTGCACCTGGAATGCTTCTCGGGGTACAGGTTGATGTGAGCCCTGATCATCTAAGTCACAAGTTCTGGAGTAGGGCCACAAACATGGTTTCCCTTCCTCTGTGAGTCTTACACATTAAATTTTAAGCCCATTCATCCTATATAAATAAGGGATATCTCATACTGAGAATTTTTCCCTGTTGATGTTCTTTCCTAATCAGCTTCCTCTAAGAAGAGGAGAAAGATAAACAGGTGTCTTCATGTGTAGCAGACCCATACATAGAATATTATCGTTCTTCCTATTGGGAAAAAAATAGGAATAAGTTATATGATGTGTGGTATTTTGGTTTCACGTAACAATTTTACTATACTTGGTGAGGATATAGTTTTATTTCTACGTCAGCAAACTCCGTAGATGGCGCGGCTCGTTAAGCCCATACTAACTGGACTCTGCCACAGCCCACACCTGCCTTACATTGTCCCCCTGCAACCTGGTGAAAGAGAAGCCTCTGCCTCAAGTGCGACCATCTAGAAGGAGAAGTGACAGCGATGGTGGACCTGCTGTGCCAGGGGGGAGAGGGGTCTCGGGCCCAGACGGCTGCTGGGGCTGCCCGGACCCCGCTGCTGAGATGCCAGTGGAGGCCCAGCTGCACCCTCCGATTCTGCCCTGGGAAACAGGAGAGCAGGCTCAGGGTGGCGAGGACAGAAAGCACAGCTGTTCTTTCTTTCAGTCAAAATGTATCTACCGAGCTGTCCTGATGCCCGGTCCCACCTGTAGCTGTCAGCCGGCCCCGAAATCCAGGGCTCTGGAAGGTCCCTGGCTCACCAGGAGGAAAACGAGGTGTCCTCTGCCCGGCACAGTGCCCAGGGCCCAGGGCTCTCCCTGCAGGTGCCCGGCTACAAGGGCTGCATCCGTCCAGGGCCACCCAGAAAACCTCACTGTGCCTTTAGCTGTGCTGTCCCGAATCTATTCAAAACTTTTCACTTTCATGGCCATTTTCACTTTGGGGAGGAGCTAGGAGTCACACAGTGCCAGACCCAGTGAATACCTGGATGAGGGCACAGCGTCATGATTGTACCAGCACTGGCATTGGCAGCCACGATCACCATGTTTGATCACACCTTGTCAAGACACTCAGGAAAGGGGACTCCAGAGCTGCTACAGAAAGTGGCAAGGACCATGGGATAAGTGTGTTCAAAGTGAGGGAGAGGATTTTGGGGAGATTCATGGCAACGTGACTCTTACTATATTACATTCTTTAATTTGAGCAGTCCCCATATACTTGGATCCCACCTCATAAGTCATTTACATGCCATATAGAAAGGCAGAAGAGAATGCAGGGCACTGAGACTCCAGGCTGGGCTCAGGACAGGGTGGGGACCACAGCCTCGAAATGGTGCAGAGAAGCAGGAGGGACCCAAGGGGTGTCCAGGGGGAGCACCAAGTACCAAACAATGCAGCTGGCTTTTTGCAGGAACTCGGGAGTCTTTGTGGCCAGTGGACAGGCACCGGATGCCAGTGGCATGGTGGCAGCAAGCCCAGGCCAGCCGTAACCATGGTAAGGATGTGGCTTTTACCTGGGATCTGAGGGGTGGGGGTCTGGACAGAAGTAGACCCTGACAGCAGTATACACCCTCCTGGGGTGAGGGGTAAAGGGGAACCGGAAGATGATTCGCAAAGTTTCTACAGGTATCCAGTGAACTCAGCGAGTTGTTCCTTTGGGATCATTTTCTCAGTATAATTCCCTAAAGTAGAGTCATCGAAAAACCCATTTTATAATCAGGTTTTCATACGGGATATTCAAAGGGTTTTTTGCTGCCAGTTTGTGAGTTTCTTCCTTCCTTTCTTCCTGGCCTGGTTTGTTTTGTGGTTATCAATTACAGGCTTAACCTTTCCTTGATGCATTCACTAACCATGGCATTTTGTATAAATGTTCTGTGTATTTTCATTGCCTCCCCCCCTCCAGATCTTAATTTTTTCTCAATTTCTATGACACACTTGGCTTTAGGTTTTAAATTCTAAAGCTAAGAGATCGGGCCTCCTTCAAATCAGAACTCTGAACCTGGGCCCTGACTACCAATGCCAGGCTCATCAGAGAAGCCACGAGGCATTGCACAAACTCACCTTGTCTGTGACCAGCCACTGTAGTTCTGTCCCCACTGTGCCACGCCTTCCAGTTCTCTGTTAAATGTTTAAGAAGGGAAGGGAAGAATGTTTAAGCTTTCGATAATCCTCTAAATTAAACATGGACAGAGTCTTGCAACCAGCAGAATTTCAAAAGAAATCATGAGCCACGTGTTGCGTTAAACACCAGTAATGCCAGTAGTTGGGAGGCTGAAACAGGAAGATCGAGAGTTCAAGGCCAGCCTGGGCTACATGGCAAGACCATCTTTCAAAAAATAAAAAGGAAAGAAAGAAAGAAGGGAAGGAGAGAAAGAAAAGGGGGGAATGTTGGGGCGGAGAACGGAAAGGAGAACAGAGGAGAAGGGAGGGGAGGAAGGTGGAAGAAACTAGTTTATTCGTCCTCCATGAGAGGCGAATAGCGGTTTGTTTATTCCTCCACAGTGCAGGCTGTCCTGGCTTGTAGGAGATTTCTTTGTTCTGTGTCTGCTTCTGAATTTCGGGTACAC